TTAATATAAATAGGAGATCGGGAATTCTTCCAGGGGCTCTCATTATTCTTTTACGAACAAAAACACTGAAACCCTACTCTCTCATCTCTTCTCTCGTTTTTCACTTTCTTTCATTCAATTTGAACGTATATTAAGGATTTGAACTTGGATTTGGCTATTTCTTTCAGATTAAGCTTGTTTACCGAATTCACGTTGGAATTTATCAATCGTAAGAATCTCTTTTTATTTAATCGTTAACTATGTATTCTCGGGGTGTGATTTTTTTCGTTGATTTTTCGAGTATGAGTGGCTAAATCTTTATGCTAGGGATTAGGGGATCGATGCTTTGAATTTGTTTGTGATTGTCGGGCTTAAAATTATTCAATTTATGCGATTCATGCTTAATTAGGATTTTCAATTCATGCTTGAATGTTGAGAATTATTGAAGAAGTGACACTTCGATTTACAATTGCTTGTTGATTGAATTTGATTCGTTCTCGCGTAATATTGTTAACTCTATATCGACTAGTTGATTAAACTTCTTCTAGGATTATTTAATCGGCTCTTAGAACCGAAAGGGGAGGAGTCAGTCAAAATAGATTCGCATGAACTAGGCTTGTTCGTAACTGTATTCGAATTTCTTAGCTGAACAATCGCTTGCCCGTTAGTTGCATATCGAACCAAAGCGGGAATCCCCGACTCCCTAGCTTCTCAATCCTTATTTGTTCTACGTGATCGTTTGCTATTTACTTGCTTTATTTTATTTATTCGCAGTAGTTGATAATAAAAACCAACCAAACTTTGATTTAGCATGTTTAGGATTTTCATTCCTTTTATTTTCTATTTTTATGTTTGAATAATCGTACAAAATAATCCGGCTGACCTTCCTCGAGAGACACGACCCGATGTCGAATCTTTTGATTTAACTCCGGAAAAATATTTACAACACTGGACAAATACGATCGGCTTTCGACATTAACTTAATTATTTACGTTGCATTATTATTCTTATTATTATTATTATTATTATTATTATTATTATTATTATTATTATTATTATTATTATTCCTTATTTATCTTGATTAGGTGGTTAGGTGGTTAGAATATATTTATTTACTTGTTTGATAAGTTAGGGATTGTGAGAGATCTTGAACTCTATTTATTAGCAGTCTGGCAGAACGTACGATCATTCTATGATTGAGAAATAAAAGTTTGTTCTTGTGTGAAATACCGAGAGAGAGTATCTATTTTATCCCTTTCGTTATTCACGTTCTACATCAGTTCCTTAGGACACGCCAATAAAGAACATAGTTTTCCTCATTAAATATTGTCATTAATGCATAGTGTCCGAGCTCAAATCCAATAAAGTCCAACCTCACTTATGTTCTTTCTTGTGTACCCATTGTTAATTATCACACTTTAGCGACTTAATCACCTAGTCATTAATGCCTAATCGGTGTTTTCGGTTGACTGAAAACGTTGATCAACATCTATATATATATAATTATTGGCTCATGAGCATTTAATAAAACTCTTTTTGTTTTCCCGCCTTTTTCCGTTACTTTTGCATTAATCGCAATTATATTTTTTTTTACTTATTTTATTATATAATTGCTACTATTAACTAATAATGAAGACAAATAAATGTTATTCTATTCTAATGTTTTTTAAACTATATATTTAAAATTGTTATTTTTTTCACCTCATTAAGCAAGTTTCTTTTATTACATTTAATTAATTATCTTTTATGGCATAACCAAACTTTTTCATGATTTGTACACAAATATTATAATAATAATTTAAATATTTTTTATCCAATTAATTATCATAATCTACTAACACTGTATAAATTTAAATAGTTTATATTTATATCGTCATTATAGTAATGATAAAATCTATAAATATGATATGCATATTATCTAATTTATGATTTTTAAATTTTACATAAAACATATATATATATATATATGTATAATATATAAAATTTTATTTGCATTTGTGCATGTGCACAGGGTAGAATACTAGTTGTTTCCTTATACCTATTGAATCTATATATATATGATTGCTAGCATATAGCATTTAATTTTACCTATTTAATAAAACCTCTAACATTTTCCCTCCATTTTCGGTTACAAAAATTATCATTAATATTTTTTATTTCTCACATTAATACATCATAATGAGTATAATCATGTATTTTTCTAGGGCAATGCTACATGTACAATTGTAGTTTAGAACATTGGTTGACAACTTAGTTAAAAATATCATTAAATAAAATTTTAATCATACATTTAATTGCATCTTAACCACCCACATTATGCCACATCGTGTTGTCATTGAATGTTGTACAAAAAAAGTTGTACAAGTAGCTTTTTCCATTTTTCTATTATATTATATAATAGTTATTGCTAATACCAACTAATAATAATTCACAGTAAATATAAATTACATAATTAAGAACAATTGTTTTAAGTTATTTATTTTAACATCAATATTATCTTTTTCTTTTGTATCTCATGGAAAAATTTCCTTAAAAACAATTAGTAAATTATTTAATAGCATAGTCAGACAACTCTAAAATCTTATAAACAATTGTTTTAATAATAGTAATAATAATAATAATAATAATAATAATAATAATAATAATAATAATAATAATAATAATAAGAAGAAGAAGAAGAAGAATAAGAATTAAACAGTTAGTATCTAATGGTAATATACAATTTTTCATAATAATAAAATTGTTATTTTTTTTTTCTAATGATCAAATTTTTGAAAATGTAATATGTTCATTATCTAAAATTTTAATATTAAATTCTCAAATATTACTTATAATATTATATGTACATCTGTGCATGATTGGCACATATATTTTTTTTTTTCTAAAAATCAGAAACACCAATAATTTTTTTTTTTATGTTAATTTTCTTAATATATGCTACAAATATATAAATTATTTTATTCATGTTACTAATATAAACGTTGCATGGTTAAAATACAATTTAAATCTCAATTGATTTTGAATGATAAAAATAACTTAAGAAAACATAATAATTTTTATATGATAGAAGCACATGTCTAATTAATAAATACAAACAACAACATAAATTTTGACTCTAAAAATAAAATTTTTAGTTGGCGGAACATAAATTCCAGTTTCAAAAATCATATCAAATGTGCCACTATTATATAGTTCATATTTTTTCCAGCTATCAAAATATTTTCAACTAATCATGCTCTTGATTTGTTGGTATTTATACTAATTAGTTAATAGACTTATGTAGGTGCTTATAAATAAAATAAAAATCAGACACATTTTCACTTTGCATTTCACACTCATAATCAGTCACCGAAAAAATTATTTCGACACAACATATTTCTTTTGAGTTCCAAATGGCAGTGCAATTTGATAATATGATTTTCTTGGCTAAGAACAAGAAAAAAACTACAATATTGCGATTGATTCGATTTTAGTCAAAGAAATTTTCGACAAACAAAGAAGTAACTACTGGGCTGAAATTTATTTTTCATGATGTAAGGCATGTATAAATTAAAAGCATGTCTACAACGGCTACACAAAATCAGAATCGATCCAAGTATTTGTCTCCGATAAATAAAAAAAAAAGATTAAAAATGAAGAAAAAACGACGAAAATGTTGCAGGTGGTAGGGTTTTGGGCATTAAATACCTGTCTCTACCACTTTGTTGAATGTTCTACATTTGTGTGGTGGATGAAGCTTTGACCGTGCTATATGGGTCCATGCATTTGGATTATGTTTAATTTGGCCCAATAAAAAAAAAAAACATCAGCCTTGATACTACTTGGATTCAAACGAAATCAACTTTATTTGACCCATTTGTGGCCCGAAAAAGAATTTATTTTGTTTGATTTTGTCTGGGCTTTGTTAATAAACAATGGGATGTGAATGTTTGAGCTTAAGTTATAAGAAAAATAATGGGTTGTGGCTTATTTAAAATATTCTCTTACTAAATTTTTTTATTGGGATACATCAAGAAATCAGATTGGGCTTGGAAAAATTATGGACATTGTATATAAAGAAGTGTTTAATTATATTTGAATTTTCTTTCTTAAACCTTTTTTTTTCAATGATTATGTTATAATTTTTACTATTGTTTATATTTTTTATTATTTTATTTTTTATCATACAATTTTCCGTGCAAATGCACGGGTAACAACTAGT